CCGCCATATTGTCCTGATGATTTATTGGAACATCTAACAAATAGTTGTGATCATTTATTGACTGGTAATCCTAACAGCAACCTTATAATTTGTGGTGACCTCAATCAGCTAGATTACAATGATTTTCTTACACAACTAAATTTATTCCAGATGGTAAATACACCGACAAGAAAGAACAAAATTTTGGATGTTTTGATTACTAACGTCCCACATTTTTGGAGGAAAGTATCGGTCACTCAAGGACTAGTTCGATCTGACCACTCTGTGGTCCTGGTATATCCCAGAATCCCACTTAAGGCTGAAAGGAAAACTGTGATGTTCAGAGATGTTCGTGATCATCATAAACTGGATATGGATAAACTGTTGAAGTTTCATAACTGGGACAATGTTTATCAATGCGGAGATGTGAATGGAAAACTTAATCTTTTTTGTACCAAGATTAAGACCAAGTTTGATGAGTGTTTTCCGGGTATATCAGTACGTGTGTCTAATAGGGACCCCCCGTTCTTTTCTCCTCTAATCAAACATCTACTGGACCAACGGCGAAAATTGATTCGGCGAAGTAACATGTCAGGAAATTCGGTTTCGATTGAGATCCAAACTCTTCAAGAGAAAATCAACAAGTTGATCAGAGATAATCAAGTTCGAGCAGTTAAAGGGAATTTTGAGAAACATAGTGCAGGATCCAAATCTTGGTGGTCAACAGTCAATTCCCTGACAGGAAGGAAGTCTACCAACTCGCAAGTAAGCTCAATTATCTCCCCGAGCGAGATCAATAATTTTTTCTGTTCCATTAACACTGATCCCCTTTATAAACCCATTGACACTGTCACTATCCCGGAATCAAGCGAGATGCCTGTTTTAACGGTCTCCAATGTTACCAGGAGTCTACTGAAATTAAAAAGAACTGCCTCTGGTCCAGATGGAATCCCGTACTGGTTTTGGAAAGAGTTTGCGTACGACCTCGCTCCTGTTGTTACCCATATTTTCAACTGTTCTTTGGAAAATCACATTGTGCCTGATCTTTGGAAATTGGCCGACATAAAGAGCCCAACTTTAAAAATTGCACACAGTTGCGGCCTATTTCGCTGACTAATGTAATAATGAGGGTTTTTGAACGTCTTGTATACAGACAAGAATTATCTCAATATATGAAGAACTTCATTAGCTTCGACCAGTTTGCATACCGCAAAGGCCACAATACGACAATGGCCTTAATTAAGTGTCAATATGCTTGGCTGAAATGGCTTGAGTCGGGTTTTGATTGTGTTAGAATCTTCTCTTTTGATTTCAGCAAAGCTTTTGATTCGGTCCCTCATGATATCCTCTGCTCTAAGTTGAAAACACTTGATATATATAAATCCATACGTGACCAATTGGATTATTAGTTTTTTACAGAACAGGAAACAAAGAGTTGTTGTTGATGCCATTGTCACGGACTATGTAAATATCAATAGAGGTGTCCCTCAGGGGACAGTTTTAGGCCCTATACTATTTTCTATTATGGTCAATGATATTAAGGCCATTCTACCAAATCAGAATTTACTTGTGAAATATGCTGATGATTTAACATTAAGTATTCCAGTAAAATCGCTGGCTAATAACGGCAATTTAGCAGCTGAGGAGGTCCGATCGATCGTCGCATGGACATCTGCTAATCGTATGCAACTAAACTTCAAGAAAACGTGGGAGATGCTTCTTAGAGGCAAATCCAAATCCACTAAGGCCTTACCTGCTCCTCTGGTTTCTATAGAGCGTAAACCATGTCTGAAGTTGTTGGGTGTAACTTTTCAATCTGACCCGTGTAACTGGGACTTACATTTTGATAATATTATATCGAAAGCCAGTAGTCGTCTGTACATCTTACGTGTTTGTAAATTCTATGGACTGCCGCTGGATCATCTTCATCTTCTCTTTATCAGTCTTATTCTACCTATATTTACATATGCTGTAGAAGTATGGGGCTGCGCGTATTATCATAAGTATCTGAGTCGCATAGACAGGCTGTTCAAGAGAGCTTTTAAGCTTGGCTACTGTAAAGAGCTTTTTTCGATTGAAAATATTATCATTCTAAAAGATAAGAAGTTGTGGGCCAAGATCACCGACAGCGATTTTCCAACAGCTTTAGATGACCTTTTGCCACCAGAGCGAACAATGGATACGCTACGTAAGAGGCGCCATAATTATATTCTCCCGCTTGTCAGAACTGAACGTTTCAAAAGGACCTTTATTAATAGATGTTTGTTCTCTTATTAGTTATTCAGTTAGTAATTTAGTTAGTTTATTAGTTTTATACTTGCTGATTTCATATCATTGTAACTAAACACGTTTGTTGTTTAGAGTGCTTAATAAAGACTTATTATTATTATTATTATTAAAGACTTATTATTATTCCAACCATGAAGTATATTATGGGCTGAAACATCAGCAGTCTTGCACTTGTGTCAGGAAAATTCCTCTTGCTTCTTAAAAGTAAAAATGTTGTTCACATAATATGCTCGGCTCACCTTACTTGTGCGTGTGAGCGACGAATGAACTTTTAAGCGTGTATCGGTAGTTGAACATAATGGCCATGACAAAAACGGGGACATGTTTTGAAAAAAAAAATTATCACCCTGGGATTTTCCCTTTTTTGCATCGCCTGCAGCTGGAAAAACAGCGATGGAAACTGTACATTTCACAACTTTTGTCGAGCGCGCTGAGATTGGGATAATCTAACCAACGGAATTTTCCCTTGCCACAAGTTACAAGGCTTGATCATTGACGTCAGTGAGTGAATCCGTGTTCTTTTAAACATAAAGCATCGAAGTACGTATGCCCAAGGTCTTGAGTGCCGGTACTGAAGACAGAGTGCACAGTTTTTCTCGACCTTAGCTTATGAATAACAGTTTTTTTTCTTTTAAACTCAACGAAATATTTTCCAAAAGAACCCTAATGATTTAGGGCTATAATTACGGTAAGATCCTCCATGAACTGAACAATTTTTGAACGAGTAAATGGTAGTTGAAACAGACTGAGGTAATGCAAATTAAATAGAGGCTTTACCGAAATATTTTTATTTGTGTAATGGAAAAGGTGATTTAAAAGGCTTCCAAACAAACTTTGAAACTTTTTTTTAACAAGTATCTGTCACAACCTGACACCTGTAAAGTAGAGAGCGTGTAAGAAACAAAAGTGCATGCAAGTTTTAAAAAAAAGAAAACAACACCAACATCAACGGCACTGGTTTGGCAAACAAACTTAAGTTCAATGTCTGTCACGGGAATTTTTTCTTTAAAAACAGTCAATGATCTTACAGAAAGTATTACTCACTTCCATCAACTATTGATGAACGAAGTATAGCTCTGTTCAGTCGGTAAATGGAAAGTAATTGTAAGTAAATTTAAATCTGTTTCAAGATTGAGGGAGTTTGCTCGTTTACTTGATGCAATCGCGTGTGTAAATCTGGTCTTTTGTCAAAAGTGGAATTTTCCTTCATTTTCTGTTGTGAAGTTTACGGTACAAATGTCCATATTGAGCGGACTTGTAAAGACTTACCGAAAGCGTCTTTAAAGTATAGAACTTAAGATATCGCTCACTGTTTTTTAATGAACAAATTGTTTGAACGATTTCAGATATAAAATGAATGAAAACCCCATCAATTAATTCAATTTTAAACAAATACGTTACGTTCTAACTTCCTGAGTTACTTCTAGTGAAGGTCTAGGTTAATTACAAACGGTTTTTATGCCGCGTGTCAACCCATTTAATGGCATATTTGCTACCAAAAATCATTTCAAAACCATTATTTTTGCCGGCAGCCACAGTGACTTGAGAAAGAGAAGGAGAGGATTAATAAGTAATTTATCAGCTTGATTTGCTTTAAAGTGATTTTAGTAAAAATACTTCTCAGCTGGCAAAGCGAAATATATTTATGAAAAAAGGCAACGAAGCTAAGGTTGTAGCTAGCGACTCGAGCAAGCGTTGCCGTGCCGCTGAGCAGAGATAAGAAAATCCGGACCGCATTAAAAACCACAAAGATTGCAGGACTCGTTACCGTGCCCTCTTAGAAAAACAAATAATAAATAGAGCTCTTTTGGGAGAAGTTTTCGGGAAAAAGCGTGTCAGAAGTGCAAGCGATAACCTTGACAGGTATTGTGGGTGGCTTTCAGGTCATGGTCAGACGACCTCAGGATTTCAGGGAAATCTGAGAAAATGTCATTTCAAGGACGAGTCATCACGGGTTTGAACCTGTTTTTAATACGACTGACTTTAAATTCCAAACTGCATGAAAAATAGAAAAAAAGTTCAAGCAAACCCTAATTAATTTATCTTTACTTACTTTACATGTCAGTGTTGATTACCGCCACCTAGATAATCTTTTGATTTTGTCGCATGTACTTTAAATTGTTGTTTTTGTTTTTTCCACAACCTTTCCCATAACAACTGTATGCGGTTAACTGCGTATCTTCAGTTGCACATTTATAAGAACTTACATTCACATTTAATTTTACGTTTTTTAAGTCTGTTCAGATGGGGGAGGAAGAATAGGGGGCGGGGTGAGGGTGGTGTCAGCTCAACATGGAAATAATTAATTTTCAAAAACTCGACTACCAAAATTACATGAACTCACAGATAATCTTAGCTGATGTGAATTTAACTAATTCAGAAAAGCAGGTTAGAGATGGCGGACGCCGTAAGGAAGAAAGATGTATAGAATTATTGACAATGATCAAACATAAACTGGAGGTGTTAAAAAAAACAGGAATCATATGAAAAAAATCATAAAACTGTAGAAAAAAAAAAGGAATAATATGAAAAAAAGTCCCGTTTTCTTTCTCATTTATTTTTCTCCTTTATTGTGATTGTGATTTTAATCTTTTTATGTCATCATCATTATTATTATTTATCATTTTGATTATCATTATGATTATTAGTATTTTTGCTTTTATTTTTATCATTTTGTAGAATGCCTAAATATAACTTTTAAAAACTCTTGGTATATAATTTCGGTGTGCAAAATGGGCCAGTCCTGGCTCTTGAACAGAGAAACCTGCCAAAACCAAGGAGGGGACCTAGTTTCCATGGAAACCGAAGACGAATGGAATTTCATCAATGACCAGATTCAAAGGCGAGATATTACGCGCTATGAAAATAAATGGAGTATTGGTTTAACAAAAAAGGCCGAGAATTGGACTTGGGTGAATGGAAGACCGCTGACTATTTGCAAATGGGAACAAGGGGAGCCAAGAGGTGAACACGACGTGGCTTTCATGTACAAGCGGTCCAGTAATGGGGAGCAGGGCGTGTTTGGTGGTGTTAATGGCATAAGTATAAGATATGGCCACGGTTATATTTGTGAGATTTCCGTGGGTAAGTTGTTATTTTTGTTGTTGTTTTGTTTTGCTTTTTTTCTGTTTGTTTGCTTTCTTTAATATTATTTTGAGGAAAATAACGGCAACAGAAGCGCTTAGGCATCATAAAAACATTATTTGATATCGTTTGTGGAACTTATGAAAGGATTTACATAAACCCTCTGACAGTCAGAATCAAGTTTACACTAACATTTGAATGAATGAAAATATGTTTGAAACGATATCAATTAACGTTTTCACGATACATATGTCTAACTTTTAGCTTTGTAAGCAGAGGAAAATTACAGATGGTTCTGTTACCAGTAATAACAGTAAACTTTCAGTTATCAGTTATTTTCATGTAGTTAATTTATTGTTTCGATTGAACAAAATGATGGTGAATACCAATTGCGAAGAAATATCAGTCCAATTGCTTTTTTAGATAACAACGTGTGATGACGTGAAGTGCGTTATCTTTTGCAAAGAACCATGCCAGGGACTCATGTCTGTTGAGATACATGCCAATTATCGTTTTATAAAACGAATACAAAAGACTTGCAAGTTTATTTTTTCTTCGCATAGCGGAATCAGTTCTGTGTTTATTCTATTTTATTTTAATATATATGATATATTGTTGTAGTTCGAAAAGAAGGTTTGACATTTGTAATGTATACATCTCATTTTTCGAACTTTTCGAGCTTTAAGTTAATTTTTTCACATAATTTAGCCTGTTTTACCTCTAACCCTCAGAGGTTGGTGCCCAGCATTAGGATAGGGAAAACGTTCCCATTTTTTCCACTGGATCTTGTGGGTTTCTTGTCACGCGTCGGCACACAAAATGTTTTTTTGCGCGAGAAGTATTTCAGTTGTAACTAGTTGTTTATCGTACTCTGTACCTTCGTCGGACGGCATGAAGCACTCACGCTCCTAGTTCGATCTGCACACCCCCTCCTTGTGTATGAGTCGTGAATTAAGATAGGAGGTAAGTTGTTAAGCGTGTGCGTTGTGAGAAAAAGAGCGGAAAGGACATATTTAAACTTGAAATGATACAACAAGTTAAATGCGACCCTTTCATATCCCGATAACTCTGGACTCTAATCGACGAGGCTCTTGCAAAAGCCACATACCACTACTATTATCAGATGAGTCCAAAGTTTCTGGTTAATGTTATTCTTTGTGCACCGGCCCCTGATGCCATAATATCATTTACGAGAAAACAATACCTAAACGCTGTGATATTGGTACAGGTTATCTGAATGTTATGATGTAATTAGTGCAACATAATACCCTAATGCGGTAATGTGATTATTAGTCTTTTCTTCTCATATTAGCGTTAACAATGGGGATGTTCGAAGTATTTGTAATGTATTCCAATAGCGTCCGTTTGTTTAGCACAATTCGGGTAAAGTATTTCGTAACAGTGGCGACTTATGGTGTTATAACACATTTAGTAAAACCTGCGTTGAAAGGAAATCAAAAAGGTCCTCGCTAGCGTCCACTTATTATAAAATATCTGTTTCATTCAAGTTTTGTAAATTGAGTAACGGTGACAAGCTTGAATTACGAACCTTTACGCCATGTGCGTTTCGTGTCACTCGCTACCCAATATTTTGGAAAATATAAAAAACTTGTGCCAGGAGGAAAACTGTACACAGTAAAAAAAAAAAGCTCTGTTGACATGTCATTCTAATCGAAGATTAACATTCTCATCCATCTTAAGCAGCAACATCGCCACCGCTCTCGCCATCGCAGTCATCATCGGCGTTGCAGTCAACAATGATTCAAAAGCTGGTGTGTAATTTTTGTTTTTTGTTTTTGTTTTGTTTTTTTACTTTTAGGATCTTCATACTCTATAATTATAACTGTTATTTCCCTTACCTCAGGCGGCGGAATATGTTTCTAAACTTAGCAGAATGAATATCACCAACGCCAGTTCCTTACAGGTATTTCATTCTTCTAATTTCTATACGCAGTTATGGAACTGAAGTTCCAGTCAGTATGTTTTGAATGTTCAAACGGAATCCGTAAATACGAATTTTTATTAAGCGTATAAATCATTTTTTGTTTGTTTGTTAGTTTTTCTGCTTTCGTCTCATATTGCTCGTGGCAGTAAAAGATTAATGGCTCATAACTTTTTACTTGATTAAGAGGTTAACCTGTATAGTTTTTCTCGCCTGTAAGAAAGCTACTTTAGGAATTTTTATAGATAAATTATCGTTATCAGTATTATTATTATTATCGTAATTACCAGTATGATTGTTATTTTTTTTTTAATTCGTAGACGAAAACTGAATAATCTATCCTCCAAGTAAAATATTTTTATTTCCTGGTCTAGTCGATCTCTAACCTGTGCACATGCATTTGTGTCCGAAATTGGTTGGCTCTCTCGCTTGAATAATTTTCTTATCTATTTGTAATGATTTTTTTTTTATTTTCTTACCACAAATGCTTAGCACCTTACCTAAACAAAAATATTTCATGTCATTTCAGGAAGCCATAGCGGTTTTGGAAATATTCATCACAGGTATTAAAAAAATCACAAAAGCTCGTAACCGCGCCCCTACAACAGATGAGATTGAGACAAGAAGAGGATCCACTTTTAAAGTGGCTATCGCCTTTGAAGAATTTGCTCTTAAATACAGCAAGCTCCACCTGACTGGAACAAGGTCCTCACAAGTGATCGACAGCCAGACAGTAGGTGAGTTTAAGCAGCGTATAATCTATAGGCCTTGATAATGTAGTAAATTGATCTAGGTTATTGAATGCGAAGCTTTATTGCTGGATCAATCGATCCATTCAGTCCTTCCATTGACTATTTATGTTCATCAATCATTATGGAATTGGATGATAATATCCAGCGATCTGAACCCTTCAAAATGCTGACGTCTTATGATCAATTATTTTACAATATTTAAAGGATTGCGCTGTTGAGAGGTAAAGTAAATAAAAGTGTTTATGCAACTATGATATACAGACTGTATTTTCAGTCCAGCAAGTGTCGTGAAATTATTAATACCATCACCTGTTGTTTTCTTCGTTAGTGCTGGATATTCATAAAGCCTACCACCAAAATGCAAGTGACTTCTACTTTGAGGATGAAGAATCGCAAGGAAACATAAATGTTTCGTCTGCAAATTTTGCTAAATCCGGTTGGTATCGACTGCAGTGTTTACACCTCAATGGATAAGTACAATTCCCTGTATTTCCCTTACAAATTTACGTGGTACTGAAGTACAGCTGCGCATATACATAGTTCTGAGTTTGTTTGTTTGTTTGTTTACACAGTACATTTGATTCAGTTATCTGAAGTTTCGTGAAAGACCATGTTCTGGCTTGATTTTCTTTTCTTCCTCAATTTATTTTTTTAAGTTCCACTGGTTGTTGGGATTGTGTATAAGGATCTCCACGAACTACTGGACACAAATCAAACCATCAGAAATGAAGCAGGCGAAGCCACAAGGTGAATTTTAACTTCTCTAAACTTTTAAACAAATTGTTTCTTCCGCGGAAAACAAAGAAATGCATTGCATTCAACCAACAAAATTTCTTAAATTTTGCAAAGCAGTATTTCGTGGTCCCTGTGTGAATCAATTATTATTTTCGGTGTCAAGGAAATCAGCTTAAAGTAACACAGTAAGAGCTCCTTGGTTACCATGGTTACCGTATCGTCAAAAATTGTCTAAAAATTATATGATTCAAAATATACAAAATTATGATTTTCTTGTCTTTTTTTGACAGGTATTTGAACTCCAGGATAATGGCCGTGGCTATGGATCCAAAACCAAACAAACTGGAAGCGAATGTCATCTAAAAGTTCAGAAACCTGAAGGTAAGAACACGATTAAAATTGGTATCAATTGCGCTACATTGTGTTTATTTATTCCAAGGAAATAATACACATTTTCAGGTTGATGAAAGAGAAAAGACATGTGTATTTTGGAGGGGCTTTAGCAAAAGGTAACAAGCTGAAATATATTACTACCTTGTTCTAGAAGTTATGCAAGCTAATCTTTGTTAACTGCTATGAATTTTTTGTTTGTGAAGGAAACACCAATCAGCTCTTGCAGCAGGAAAAACCAAAAAAATTTCAACAACATACGAGTGGAAAAGCCCCCAGTTGATTATTATGCCGGCATGACTTTCCCTTGAGTTATCAATTATCCGTCACTGTCAATCTCATACTTCCTGTTTTGAAGTCATTTCTATCTGCATTTTATTCGTTTTCATTTGCGGTTGTCGCCTTTTTTCGCTTCTGCCATCGTCTTACATATTGTTGCTGCCAAAATCGTTTTGTTTACCGTAAAAGTAAAAGTTCGCCTTTTGTTTTTTTCTGTCTTTCCGTTTTTCAATTTTCTTCACATAAGGTAAGATTCAGTTGTGTTTTACTAGCCTGGATCGTCAATATACCTTTTCATCACATTGTAACAGTTAGAATATCAAAGCCGACTTCATGAGTAGCACGTATCAATTACTGAATAAAATGAAAAGTGGTCAACTTGGTCTCGAGGCTATGATTATAATGAGGAAGATAGCAAGTTGACCTTTTGGTAACCAAAAGCCTTCTTCAAATTTTTTTTTTATAATATTGTTGTTATTGTTTTGATTTTGTTGTGTTATTTTTTTTAACGTTGTCGTTATTTTTCCAGCTCAGAAGGATTTTCAGGGAGAGGATGCCATGTGGTTGCATCGCAAAGTAACATAGAAGAAACAGTGTGCAGCTGCAATCATTTGACTCATTTTGCTGTCTTACTTGACTACAACGGCAGCTCAGGGGTAATGGACTAATGTTTACCTTACCTTCACTGGTGGTAATACAATTCCATTCAGGTGATTGACACATTTCTAATTCTTTTCATGCGATTTATGAAGCAGCTCACTGAGGAAGAAGAAACTGTTCTGGAGTTTATCACCTACGTGGGATTAAGCCTGTCAATCATTGGAATAATTTTGACAGTTATTCTATATCCCTTCCTTACGTAAGTGCTACAGCCAGAAATTTTGAAACTTTATATTATTTTAAAGATGTCAGACGTAAGTAAGACCTCTTCGCGAAAAGACCGACACTCAGTCAATGCATATTGAAATAACTACCTGTTGGAACATAAAGTTACTTTCCTTTTTTTTGTTCGGTTTTGTTTTTGTTTTAGTCTGCTTGTTTTTATTTGTTTGTTTCTCTAGAGATGTTCACCAGCTTCTGTCACAAATACGATTGAGTCTTTCTGTTGCCCTCGGAGCTGGACAATTTATTTTTCTCGTCGGGATAAACGCCACAAAAAACAAGGTAAGCGACTTCTTCATCCATTGATGAATATTTTTTTAACGAGACTCAAGACGAGCATTAAGAAGTACACCAGATCTCTTTGAAAAGATGCATGAAAAGTAGTCAACTTTTTTCCCTCTCTCTCAGGCCTCTTGTATTACAGCTGCAGCTTTCATGCAATATTTCCTGATGGCTTCGTTCTGTTGGATGCTGGTGGAGGGATTTTACCTCTACCTCTTTGTGGTGAAAGTTTACAACATCACCGAAAAGATGCACATGTATCACGTCATGTCATGGGGTATTTTCATTTTACTTGTTTTGAATTGTTTGACTTCATGATCACCTGAATCGACTTGCATTGACATCCTACTTATGTTTAGGTTTACCCATCGTCATGGTCGGTATTTCATTGTGCATCGCTGCTGGGAAAGATGGAATAGAAAGCTTCACTAGTGATAAATAGTAAGAGAATCCTTCGAAATTAGATCTTTTTTCTCCTTCTCCACATTTTTTGTCTCCCACAAAAATGTATTTTTTTTTTAAAGTACAACTCTTTTTGCACAATCTTGTGTTTTTAGTTCGTTTTCATTTCGTAGATTTTTGTGTCCCTGCGTTTTTATCCAGGTTTTGTGTCTCTGTCTCTGTCTCTGTCTCTCGTTCTGTCTCCCTCCCTCCCTCTCTTCTCTTTCTCTGGGTTACTGGGTTAGAGGATTATTTGCAGCAAAAATATGTTTATCTTTTTCTCTCTCCGTTTCTCGTTTAAAGTTGCTGGCTATCCTACACAAACAACCTCATCTGGATATTCGCCGCATTTATGGCTTTTGTTGAAGTGGTGAGTCTACAATTAGTCAATCCCTCGCATTTTACTTTTTCATGCCAAGACTGACCACCGGTGGAGATTGTCTTTCTCGTTCCCATGCTCATTACAAAACGAAAAGCATATTTCTGTTTTCGACTACCAGGCTCAAAGCTCACAACCTTTCCAACTCCGTTTACGCTCACTATGTATTCAGCATTACTCGTCTTAGCAACAAGCACTCTGCCAACATTTGACATTCCTTGTTTGTTTCAGCTCAACATTTTGATACTCGTCCGAGTCATAAAAGAGATGACCACGCTAGTGCAACCTATGGGGGAAGACAATCATATTAAGCAGATACGGTTAGATTTAAAATTTGCTGTTAGCGAAATATTTTAATCAGTGGAGGGAAAAAAGTTGAAGAAAACGTGAACCAATAGCTGAAGCATTTAATTGTGAGATATTTACCTTAGCTCCACACTAGTTAACATTAAACACAGAGTCATCAGTGTCTTAGGGTTAGGGCTACTGTTAAGTGTTTTTACCATCTCTAAATAATGCCTATTAAACAATGATAAATTTGAGGAAACAATCGTCAAAATAATTCAAACGTTTTTTTAATGTTGTCGTTATTCCGGCAGACTTGGCTTTAAAACATGCGCGGTGATGATTCCACTGATGGGTATAACGTGGCTATTCGGTCTTTTGTCGCCATGGCACAAAGCTTTCGCCTACATTTTCACCATCTTTAACTCTACTCAGGTGAGTATTCGGTCTTTAGTCGTCATCACAAAAAGCTTTCGCCTACTTGTTCACCATCGTCAATTCAACTCAGGTGAGATTTTAACGAAAATGTCGGAAATCGGATCATCTGTTTGGAAACTTGAATGTCCAAACTACATTCTTACATTAGTCTGATGATATTTCCCGTTCAAAGGGAACCTAGTCGACAAGAGAGGATTTATTTCTTGGTTTTTGAGATCTGCAACTTTCCTTAATTTACTGTTTTACCCATTTTTTAAAGACGATTTCAAGATAGAGATTACAAGATGTTTGCACTACATCAAACTTTTTAAACGACGCTCTGCCATCTCTAAAAAAGGCTGATCTTGAAATAATTTTCTGTCTTAGGGATTCCTGATTTTTTTCTTCCATTGTGTGCGAAACAGCCAGGTAAGAAAGATATCAAACAGGGGAGGTAGATCAAGTGAATTGTGAAGACTTTAGAATCACTGAGCTTTGGATGGTTAAGAACTGATATTTGGCCAATTGTTCATCTACAGATTAAAGAGCGATTGAAAAGGAGGATGAAGGCAATTTTTCCATCTTCCGAAGTTGGAAACTCTGCAAGGAAGAGCTCACGAGTTAACGCAAGTGATGCCGGGAAAATACGGGCAGTCGAAATGCAGTCTTTCGATACATAAATAGCACTGCGCCTCGGTGAAGCTAGTCAATCATCTATTAGCGATTTGCAATCACTTAGCATGACATTCCCTCAGTAATTCCTCAGTAGAGCCTGGTTAGTATCGTAGTATCAGTAAGGAAGGGGGGATTAGGATTTTTGGTTTTGCGGTGTTCGTCATTTTTTTAGATCGGTTTTTCGGTTTCTGCCAAACAAACTTCGGTTTTACAGTTTTGGTGTTTATTGTGGTTCGCAGATTTCCGAGTTTTGGCACTTGGTTTTCGGTTTTCGTCAAAAATACTAATGGGTTTTCAGATTTGGAGTCCGAAGTAGTTTTGGCTTTTCCTATTTGGGTTCCAATTCCTCTTTGATCTGAGCGGCAATCTTTTTGTCTCCATAGCTGTGAGACCTCTTTGTGCTCCATCTGTCATCTGTATTGGATCGATTAGGATTTTGACAACTAGGATGTGAAAAATCGGTTTAGACGGTTTTGGATGCGATTTTCGGCTTTAAGCGAATTTTTGTTGCGGTTTTAAATGTATTTTTTTTAGTTCTGCGGTTTCGTAGACCCCGATGCCCCCCCCCCCCCCCCCCTTCACTAAAGGTAGGGCCATTCTGGTCATTATCGTAATGACGTAAATACATAAATGAACCGCTTATATAGTGCTATTATTACGAAGGGCCGCATTTGGCATCCTGGTAAATCATGGGTCTATCTGTTGCCATAGGAAGTAGGCTCTTTGCAAAGGTAGCTTGGATAAATTGGAGACAGCACTGCCAACAACAATAGTACATGCATGGACCCTCGTTTTAATGGAACGGATACAATGATATAAATCTCACTCGGTTTGTCGCCCTCCTTAAGACATTTCTGCTTAATGTTAATACTTGTAGAAGAGCTTTACATTCCAAGCCGTTGAAGTTAGTCAACTGCAATGTTTGTACTTTTATTGTTAAGCTTAAGGTTCGCCCTAAAATTAAAAGAGAAAAACTGTGTAAAAGCTTGATTGCCTATAAATTGTGTGAAACATACAAATCAACGATTTTAACGTCTTTTCTTTAATCTGTTTTCGTGTTACATATAGTAAGTCAGATACGTAATCAAATTGAATGTGACACAATATAGTTGCTCCTATAGCAATAATGGATAAATAAACAAATGTATAATAAATACATATTCACCTATCTAGTCATCATTATTATTTATTAAAGCCACATTTTTTTTCTTTTCCTTTTTTTTTTTTGTATTCATGTCAGGAAATGACGAATGTTCTCAAATTTCTCAGAGTAGAAATGTTTGATCAAGTGTATTGCTTGAAATGTTGGAATGAAAACTAGTTGGAGAAAAATTCGGCATCGATTGATACAACATGAATGCATATACACAAGTGGCAACTCTTACAGCGATTTTTCGCATTTGCTACTTCTTGTTTATCACCGAAACACCTTTGAGGAAATATAAACTATCAGGAATATACAAATGAAGGCTGGTATGCATTTCAGGATCTTGGACACACAATTCATATAGGATCATGTACTCCTGTTATACGTATCCTTTCGATAGATACAACATTTTCGAAAAAAAAATTCCGTGTTGGGCGGAAATAATTTTTCAGGGTTTGATATCATGGTAAGGGTATTTCAAGCGTAATGCTACTGGCGAGTTATTGTTTATCGGCGCGAGAAAAGCACTGCACTGAAGAAGTTTGTCCCAAAAACACTCGTGTATATCAAGAAACAAACGTAGTAGTTCTCCAATTTCATGACTTTTAATTCTTTTTGGTTTACAAATGCAGAAAACAAGGAAAGCGTTTAAGGATCCTTATAAGCGCGCTGCTATTTGATTTCTACTTTCAATATAAATTGTAGTACCCACTGTGACTTTCTCAGTGCATTATTTTTAATTTACAAAATTTTGGTCTCGTTTTAAATTATTCGTTCGTATTGGTTTTTCTAACTTTTTAAGTTTGAACTTAAATGGGCTGTCAGGGGCAGGTTTCTAATGGCAGAAAAAAAAACTTATGCCCATTTTAAATTTGCTTTAGGCAAAAAAAGTTAGTAAAATAGGAATGACATGTAAATAAGACAGCTGTTAGAAGAGAGATTAAAGAGTTTACGGCAAAACTGCGATAGATTTCAAAAAGTAACCCCGACGCTTAAAATGGTAGTTCTTAAGAAATGTCTGAAATTAGTCATTTCCTTCTATTCAAGAACAAATAGAAAATGTTTCTTCTGACTTCAGATGACATTGTGGTGTAACTGCGAAATGAAATACCGGACGTTCACACTGTACATGTCAGCCAGTGTCAGCCAGTTCTAAATCGAGAAAAATATGTTGCATTTTAAAAGCTTGACTGTCGCTAAAAATTAACAAAATACAAGCTGAAATCACCCATTTACTGGATACCGGTCTATCAAGCACTCACGAGCAATAATTTTACACAACGATATAGAAGATAATGGACAAACCATCATACCGATTGTAATATAGTACACTCTATCATATAGCGAGTGCATCATCCGGCTTAAGTTGGCTTTTTTAGCCGCGGGGAAATTATTTCTCGAAGAAATGAACATTCTTCAATCATCGACTACGAACGCATTGTTGATAAGATTTATGGGTGAGTATCAACTTTATTTATATTCATTTATTCTTGCTACAGTAAGTCGTCGTATCTCCCTACGATAGTTTATCTAGAGAAAGGCTTGATGAACTTCTAACTTCTGATTCAGTTCTTGTGTCGGATCCCAAAAGGAATAAAAACCAAGAAAAAGTTTAAATTTACTGTTTGTTTGGTGTATGTTCGTTTATTTCAATGTCCTCCTAAAATGAATGAACACCCAAATTGCAAATTGATAAACGTTATGACTGTTCTGATAAAAAAAGAAAAAAATTTAAAAAAATTTAAAAAATCGTACCGGTTTTTGTAAATCTCTCCCTCTGGCGAAGTGGCAAATAGATTAAAAAAAAATTTACTATGCAATTCAGAAGCAGTAAAATGCTCTTTCAGTCAAACCTGTTTTAAACGGTCATCCAAGGGGAATGGAATATCAGATTCGAGGATTTAAGATTCCAGACCAAGAAAAAAAATGAATATAGCTCATTTAAGATATGTGGGGTCTTTGGCAGTATAAACAGGGTCCACTTTTATTGATAAATGCACCACGCAGAAACGATTTACAATTATTTGACGTTTTAGGCCGCTGGTAAGGCCTAAAATATGACTGAAAGCAGTAATATTTTTACGATGCATTGAAACACGTGAGAGTATATTAGGTATTGATCACTCTATTTCAAAAGGCTCGTTTTGAAAGTACAGCTTGTTGGATTTGTTTTTGTTCGTCAGAATTTACTACGTGGACTGAGTTAATGTTAATAAGATTCCTTTTAATGCATGATGATTAGCCTCAAAGAAGTGGCGTTTTAGGCAATGCACACCTGCTCTAATGAGTCTATTCAACTGCAAGCCGTAGGGTTTTAAAACACTTGCGTGGAGCGATAAGGCCAAAAAAAAAAAAAAACCAAAAAAAAAAAAACCAAAAAAAAAAAACAACTAAACTAAAGTAAGGCTTCATTGTTCGACAAATGATTTATATTATGGTTGTGGCCTTGTATCCTTGGTGAGGCTGTTTTTAAATTTTTAGTAGAAGTCATCAATTCAATACAGTCGCGTATTGAAATATTTTGTTTCTACATTGATAAAAATGATCGGAGTTAGGTTTTCCCGTGCGTATGATTCCTCCATCTCTGATTAACGTGGACAATTGGATAAATGCGCTCTCGAAGTTTGAAGATGTTGATCTTCCAGATCTGCCACATTACTGATGTTCTCTCTTCCACATAATACTACTTCAATTGATCGCTTCAGTTCTTTAAGTCTAAATGTAGTCAAAATAGGATTTACTGCAGAATTGACGTTCAGAAATATCTCGGAAGTTACTCTTAAAATCAACAGCCATTTCTGATCGTGGCAGCTGTCGCAGTTTGCTTCAATAAGAACAACGACGAAATAGGGAACCAGACAAGTAATCAGACAAATTAAGATTAAAAACGAAGTTATGGCACATCGATGCTGTTTTTGGGTGTTTTTTAGTCTGCGTATGTCGCTAAGTACTGGGTTTTCAGAGATAGATGACTGTCTTTGCAAATCAACGCGAGAGCGGCTCTTTCGCAAAGTTATGAAAATCCCGGTATAGGCCATTGTAGTTACGACAAGAGGAAACGTCGTGTGTAAGTGAATATCGACTAAAACGTAAACATCCCGAGACAAATCAACGAGCTGAAGAGAGGCGAAGATGGTAGAGAAAAGAACCATGATCACTGTACAAAAGACGAGGTGTTTTGGTCTGACTTTACGAAGATAGAAATAAGGACACACAACAGAAACGAAACGATCGACCGACATGGCTGTAACGAGCAAAATTGAGCTGTTAACTCCAATGTATCCCATTATTCTGGGTAAATCTCCCTCCGTAGGAGAAAAATTTTCTCCAAATGCACACCTAAGCCTCATAACAGCCTCTGCTGGGCAAACAGCAATGGCAACGAACAGATCCATCGCAGCAATAAATATCAAAAACACGGAAAATGTTTTCCTGAAGCGACGAAGGGGGTCTCTGTATAATGCCACCAAAGTCACACCATTAAGAACTGATATAAGAAATGATAGTAGGGAAAAAGATATTCCACTCCCGAGACAAATAGACTTCTCAAAATCTCGCTCCATGACGATAAGCGTATAACAGTTCCGTGACAAAAGGCAGAATATTGTCTCTTCAATGTAAGAAGTCTTCAGGGAGGTAAATTACCCTAAAAAAGAAAATGTTAATTAGAACTTTTCAATGGTTTGTGCAAAACAATTACCTTATATACGCCACTAATGCACTGCCTGAATTTGAATAACATTCTTCGTAATCAACAGAAGCCAATTGCTTTAAAGGATCTGAATTTGAAACTAATGCCCTCTAGAGCATGGAGTGCGATATTGCGATATTATGTAATGGAAAAGGTTGGCTTAAGTA